ATTTTCAGTCAAGCACTGTTATAACAGGGAAAACGTGGACACAAACTACTCCTCCTTCAGAAGGGGGATGGATGAATAAATAAGGTGGATTTATCATTGGCTACACAAAGCAGTTAAAATCAGTGAGCTGCATCTACACATACTATATAGGTACAGCTCAAAACAGACGAGCAGTGGGGAAAAAATACCAATTTATAAAAGGATTTTAAGGCCAGGCGCAGTGGCTCAACCTAAAATCCCAACACTTTGTGAGGCCAAGGCAAGAGGATTATCTGAGTCCGGGGTTTGAGACCAGTTTGGGCAACTTGGTGAGACCTTGTCTCTACAATAAATAACAAAAATTAGCCAGGCATGGTGGCGCATGCTTGTAGTTCCAGCAACTTGGAAGGCTGAGATGGAAAGATCACCTGAGCTCAGCAGGTAGAGGCTGCAGTGGCTGTGACTGTGCCACTGCACTCCAGCCTGGGCGATAGAGTGAGACTCCAACTCGGAAAAAAAAAAGGATGCGTAGAGTACAGCACCACCTAAACTTTTACCTCCTGGATATTTTTAAGTCAGTAGGCTCTCATCAAAGCAATCACTACCCAAGGTAAAAACCTAATATTCTCTCACCAGGACGACTATCACAACCTTGTAATGGGTCTCCCTATTTCCAACTTTGTCTCACTCCAATCTATCCTTACACACCCACCAAAAGCTCTGTCTAAAATATAACCCTTACAGTAAGTCCTCATTTAATATCATCAATAGGTTCTAGGAAATTGTGGCTTTAAGCAAAATTATGTACTATATGCCATAGGATGTTCACTCTTGTTTATATCAATTAGCCTATGGTAAAATTAGTATAATTAAACAGTACATTGTTTAATTTAAAGTTGTAGTTTCCAAGAGCCTGTCAACAATGTTAAGCGGCTTACTGTAGTTAACATTACAGTATATAGGGGCTCAGTAGCTCAGCCTGTAATCCCAGCACTTTGGGAGGCCGAGGCGAGTAGATTGTCTGAGCCCAAGGGTTGGAGACCAGCTGGACAACTTGGCGAGACCTTGTCTCTACAATAATTAAAAAATTAGCTGGGCAAAGTAGTTCCAGCTACTTGGAGGGCTGAGGTGGAAAGACTGCCAGAGCCCAGCAGGTTGACGCTGGGTGGCCATGAGTGTGCCACTGCACTCCAGCCTAGGCAACAGAGTGAGACTCTAACTCAAAAAAAAAAAAATTACAGTATATAAAAAATAATACTAGGCCAGGTGTGGCAGCTCATGCCCATAATCCCAGCCAAAGATAGAGAACTGCTTGAGCTCAGGAGTTTGAGAACAGCTAGGCAACAAACATAACAAGACCACATCTCTATAAAAATTAAAAAATTAGTCAGGTGTAAGTGGTATACTCCTCTAGTCCCAGCTGCTCAGGAGGCTGAGACAGGATGGCTTGAGCCAAGGAGTTCAAGCCTGTGGTGCGCCATGACCATGACACTGCACTCCAGTATAGGCAACTGGAGTGAGATCAGAATGAGATCCTGACTCAATAATAATAGTGATAATAATAAAATATAAACATTTCACTGGCTCTGCGTGACATCCACAGGATAAAGTTAAAAACTTTTATGATCTGATCCCTTGCCGATCTCTCTAGCCTCAACTCTTCCCATTCTCTCCCTATACTTTACATGTATCAATTTCTTAATTTAATAGTATTCTGGGAGCCAAGTATGGTGGTTCATGCCTGCAATCCCAGCACTTTGGGAGATGAAGGTAAGAAGACTGCCTGAGCCCAGGGGTTTGAGACTAGCCTGGGCAATTTGGTATGATCTCGTCTCTACAAAAATCAAAAAATTAGCCGGGAGTGGTGGCACATGGCTGTGGTTCCAGCTACATGGAAGGCTGAGATGGAAGGATTACCTGAGCCAGGCAGTGTGCCACTGCCCTCCAGACTGGGCAACAGAGTGAAACTCCAACTCCAAAAAAAAAAAGCCGGGCTCGGTGGCTCAGCCTGTAATCTCGCGCCTTGGGTGGCTGAGGTGAGTGGATTGCCTGAGCCCACGAGTTCGAGACCCGCCTGGGCAACTTGGCCAGATCCCATCTCTACAATAAATCAAAAAATTAGCCAGGCGTGGTAGTGCACACCTGCAGTTTCAGCTACTTGGAAGGCTGAGGCGGAAGGATCGCCGGAGCCCAGCAGGTCGAGGCTGCGGTGGCCGGGAACAGCCACTGAACTCCAGTCTGGGCGACAGAGTGAGACTTCAACTCAAAAAAAAAAAAGATTTTGGCACTCTGTCTCTGATTTGCATTAAAGAGTACTAAGAAACACTATGCCTCCCCTCCCGCCATTCTTTTCTCCTTTGAATGCTAGGAATCTGTAAGCAACATAAGATTCATAAATTTGCTCCCAAATTGCCATTCTTTCCCAAAGTCATTTTTAATAAGAATATATTTCAAACATCAATTGGTCAATATAAAATCCAACAGGTGACTTAAACAGTGCAAAATGGTTTAGTGTGTCATGTGACTGGACCAATAAAACCCCATTTACACTTCTGATTCAAGCATAACTCAAACTCCAACCAAGAAATATGGTTCTTGTTAACTGAACCATGTGATTAGTATTTGTATTTATGCTTTGAGGGTAATTGTTTCTTTATGCTTTGGAATTAACTGTGTCTATATCATTGGAACAGCTGAAATACTGTAATGAATACATTTGTGCATAATTACATTCCATGTATTAATGAGCTCAATTCACTTTCCCCTCCACACTTCTAAACTTCCTTTCTGTTTCAGAAAGGTTGTGGAAGAAAACAAGCTGAATATAATGAAAGGAACCAGTATGACTTACTGAAAAGCTTGGAATAATGTAATCATATAAATGAAACTAGAATTTAGTGAAAGATAGTACTTGCTACCCAAAGATCTCCCTCACACTAGAAAGCAAGGAACTTAGGCAGTTCCCGTCCCAGCTCCACTCTCATTCCATTCTACTTCAAATCTTCTCTATCAAGAAGTGGGCTATAAATTCCACAAATATAGAATTGACATAAAAGTATTATAACCTTGGACAAATCACTAATTCTTCCTGAGTCTTAAATTCCTCATCTGCAAAGCAGGTGTAATATTCTCAAGCTTTGGCTTCCAGAACACACCGAATATCACACAAAATATTCAAGTCATATTACTTTGTAAAACTGTGAAACAGCATGGGCATGTAAAATCTTATTAAGATTATAATCAGGGGTTTAAAAAATATATTATAATCAGAGTTTAATATTAACCAGCAGTTCCAGAAACTGGAAGTATGTTATAGTAAGCCTTAGTTTCCCAAATGTAGACTTTAAGCCATAGATTACCTTTATTTGTAAGATCCTTAATATTTACACCAGAAAAAACAGAACATCCTCCTCCATATGAACCACATATGTTGTCTATGAATCACTTTCATCTCTAAATTAGTAGGATCCAAATTAGTAGGGCTTTCCTACAGTGAAATCTGTTTAAGCAAACATCTGCCGGTTCCCCAAAAAGTGGTTTTTTTTTCCCACAGGTGGCCTTTGAATTTGTGGCCCAAAATCCACAGAAAGAAAATATAGCCTGTAAGACTGAAGCCCTTCAAAGAGAGGCAGTGTCCTTGAGAGCCTGGGTCTCCTCTCAGATGGGGACAAAATATGCGGGGAAAAAAAACTCAACTCTGGGCCAGGAAGTGCTCAAATTTAATGAAAGTGACAATGACAGCTTCATCACTCTGTCAGAGAGATACTGATTGAAAGGACACATTTTTCCTGTTACAAATATTCTTGATCAAAGCATAAAAGGAAGCATATGTTTTAGCTGAATTGTGGCTCACTTTCTATTTTCTCTATTACTCATTTTTCAGGGATGTAGAATAGGAGAAGCACAAAACGTAACTCCAAAGCCATGACTTCTGCCCTTAGTTTTACCCAAGATTGCCCAAATGACCTTGGGCAAATTGCTGAGGGCGATACTAGCGCTTGCCCCACAGTCCTGGTGAATACTCAGCAAATATTAGACAAGTCATCAAGTGATTAAATAGACTTTGCTGTTTCTATTGGTCTGACCAGCAAGTGTAGCCATGCCCTCCTTAAATGACAGACCAGTTGCTTCCTGGCTTTTAATCTGAAATTATACTTAAACTACCCCAAAAAGTGAGCTAAGATGAGTGTTTTATTAAATTTCCAACAAGGGAAATGGTTTTATGGACACCTGTAATTAAAAAGGAAAATAACAAAAGATTATACTTTAAAATCACAAAAGAAATCAAGGGACATCTTCTTATGCTTTGGTAAAAAGCAGGAAGCAGGGGGACCAAGAGAAGGTGGTATATGATTGAAGTGGGAAATCTGAGAGACATGAAACACCCTGGGCTGACCTTCTAATTAGTCTTATAAAAAAAGGTCTGCAGTGACTTAATGTAAGTGAATAATTTTCAGCTAACCAGACAGCTCAACTGGGTTCAGTGGGCCACAGTGCCTACAGTGCCCAGATATATGCACAGATAGCATGTCCATGGGGGCACATGAAGTTGGTCTTCCCTGAGGGTGTGGCATATTGCCCACACCCGGTGCAACTGGTTCTCAGAAGATGAGTTTGGAGTGAAGACTTGGGCCTTTATGACCTAAAGGCCATGTTTAGTTAAAACTGGAGACCATACATTCATTTTTTCCTGGTCAACAAAATGGTTGGTCCAGTGAATGTAATTAGCCACGTGTATAACAAGATTACACAGAAAATTCATCTTTCTGAATGAATTCACTTAGGATGAATTCTACTTCACTGAAATAACATACAAACACACACATGATTACACAAACACAGGGAGGACAGCAACTGTGGTTCTCTCAAGTTCATAAATCCCATAGCACCTCACTTTCTAGGGCAAGTCTCTGAAGTTCAGAAAACCCAGAGAAACAGAAGAGTGATCCCATGACCTGATTTAATGCCCAGGAATAATTTAGTGCCCAGGAATGGAATGCATTTTTCTTCTTTGAGCCTACCTTGGCCTGGACAGCATAAGAAGCCAGGAGCACAGAAGCCTCGGGAGGGCAGTAGATTTTTTCATCTAAAATCTGCTTCTTTACCTGAAAGGGGCAACAAGAGAGACATGATACTGTGTGTATGGAAGAGAGCCATGTGGGCTGGTCACAGCAGATGGCTGTAGGGTGTTCTAATGAGGGTTGCCAGAGCAGCCTGTTAATGATTTTCTGACAAAGGGCACCATTTTTTGCCTGATGTGGACAGGCTGAGAGTTTAGTAACTGATAAGTTATTGGTAAGATGGCCACACATAAAAACCCCTATCTCTTCTCTTCGTGCTCAATGCTGAAGAGTAAAAAAACAATCTCCGTGGTTACAATAGAGACTGACATCCTGGCTATGACAGAGAGCTGTGAACACAAGAAGCGTCAGGAGCGGCTCTGGGGATGATTGCAGCCTCAGCCCCTGCTGAGCACACGCAGCACCGGAGGAAATGGATCTACTTTTAAGTATTAACACAAGACAAAAGTCACAAGGCCACTGAGTTATGACTGCAGAAGAAAACCATCACTTTCAATGTGCTGCTCTAAGGAAAAAGGAAGCAATAAAATTTGATCGATTCAACTTTTAAGTACATGTGCGGTCCAGGAAATATAATTCGTAAGCCATAATGTTGAATTAACATATTTCATTGCACTTAATCTCTTAGAATGGTGCTACTTGCGATATTCCAACCATGGAAGCAAGAGAGCCCCACGAAGTGGAGGCACACTGAAATAAACAAGAAAGTCAGCTCTCTCTTTTCACAGATATCAACAGTCACCAGATTCATAAAAGTAGTAAATTTTGCCTTGCTCAGTCATAAAAACACCCTAACATTTTAGTATGAAGGAAAATCAACCCAAAGTCACATGAGAGACAGGCAATGCTTCCAAGTACTTTTAAGAAAGCCATTTCTATAACCCTAGGGGCATTCTGGGACCTAGGAGATCTTTATGTGGTCTCATTCAAACACAAAAATTCTTCTCAGGTTTCAAAAGTGATTTTACATTCTTAGAGAAAATGAAACCTGAGATATTTCTGAAGCAGCGTAACTTTCTAATCCCCTGGTTCCTTTTCAAAAGAAAAAAGAAAAGTCACACTATGGAAAAACTGAAAGGGCTTTCCTCTGACCTAAAAATGTTGGAAAGAAATTTGCCAATATTTTCCATTATATTTATACATATATGGAGATCTTTTTTTTTTTAAAAAAAGAAAGAATTTAGGGGGCTTAATTACATTTAACTTAATATTTCCTGAACACCGACTGGGCTCAGTGGCTCAGCCTGTAATCCTAGCACTTTAGGAGGCTGAGGCGAGTGGACTGCCTGAGCCTGTGGGTTCAAGACTAGCCTAGGTAACTCGGCGAGACCTCGTCTCTACAATAAATCAAAAAATTAGCTGGGCATGGTAGTGCACACCTATGGTTCTGGCTACTTGGAAGGCTAAGGCAGAAGGATTGTTGAAAGCCCAGCAGGTCAACACTATGGTGGCCGTGAGTGTGCAACTGTACTCTAGCCTGGGCAACAGAGTAAAACTCCAACTCAAAAAAAAAGCAAAACAAAAAAATTACTCAACACCATATACTGAGGCTGAAATTAATTATAGAAGGACAATGGGACAGACTACACATCTACCTCTGGGAACTCAAATAACATCCTTGCTGCCATCTTTATATTACCGACAGTAGATACCTTTGGGCACACAAGCATCCCAGTGCCAATCCCTACAACGAGCCATAAAAATTGGCTAGACGCTCTGACCAAGCAGCAAGAACACAAGTAAAACTGACAAGGCTTCCATCCTCAGACTAATCCACCTCTCTGTGCCTCTAGATGGTCACCCTACAACTAAAAATCCCCTAATTTCTTCTATCCGGTTGGGCAATTACTTACGGAATGCCTACTATGCACAGTGAGCTTTGCCTTGAAGGGGCTTACAATCTAATGAGGAAGTAAAGGAGAAATAAAACAACTATAGACAAAGAGTAGCATGAAGCATAATGTCTGAAGCACTATATCACAGGATAAACCAAATGTCACTGAAATTCTTAAGTTCTATCTTCAATGAGGGCAGATTTTGAACTTTTGGAGGAACTACTGCTTTATAAGACTCTCCTTAGCCTTCCTTTGCAACTATCAAGTACTTTTAGGTTAGCTAGAAAAAAAACAGAATTCATCTTCAAGGATGTTTAAGTTAGGTAATTACTTGTATCCATTCTTCCACACCTTTGTAATTTCATCTGATACCAATTCTCATCACTCAAGTGTAGTTCTGTCCTAGAGATTTTTTTCCCAATGCAAAACCAAAAGGACTGACTTTCCAGAGGAAGAATATTCTTGCAGTGTGACACTGTATGTTGTCAACTCTGAGGGGTTCACCCCAGGCCAACTCTGCAACCATGCCTAGGCAAGTTCTCTCAGAATTGGGAGGTAGCATGGACTGGTGTACCTGCAAGAAGAATAAATGTTGCGTGATCTCCTGAACAAGTTCCTCCTCAGCATTCTCAGGATAAAATTTGGCCAGGAAGTGAAAAGTAACTGGTTCTTCCTTTGAAACATCATGATCCAACACCTGTAGAATTGCGCATCAAAAGACAAACATGCAATATTAGTACCTCTTCCTCCCATGCCACCATCTAAGAACCTTCTGCAAGGAGCACATAAAATGTTTTCCCCACTAAACTTACTATGCTTCCCAAAGGTTGTGATTCTACAGTTTGAAGCATTCACAAAACCATCTGTAACAAGTAGTAATATTTACTTCCTGTGGTGTTTCTGAACCAAATTAATCAATATCCCCAAGGGGTGAGTAGAGCTAAGATTAAGACACAAATGTTTTCAAGGCCATGGAGATAGTTAAAAACTAGAAAATTATCATTCAAAGGTCTTGGGCACTGTGTCATAAGCCAGGCTTGGTGGCTCAGCCTGTAATCCCACGCCTTTGGGAGGCTGGGGTGAGTGGATTGCCTGAGCCTGCGGGTTCGAGACCCGCCTGGGCAGGCGAGACCTCATCTCTACAATAAATCAAAAAAATTAGCCAGGAGTGGTAGTGCGTGCCTGTAATTCCGGCTACTCGGAAGGCTGAGGCAGAAGGATCACCAGAGCCCAGCAGGTCGAGGCAACTCAAAAAAAAAAAAAAAAAAAAAACATGTGTCATAATGTATTTCCTTTGAGCAGTGGGTTCCATGGCTCCTGATGTCCTCAATCTAAGATCCACTTGGCTAACACTCAGGTATGATTTAAAATTCACTTTTGAAAAAAGATACATAAAGTTTTTCTGTCTGTGACATGTAACTCTCTGTGCTCCTACCCAAATTCCAGGTGGCAGTGCCCAGTAGATTAAAAATAAACCTTATCTAGGACAACCCTGCTGACAGCGGCATCCAATAGCATTCTGATGCTCATAATCATTGAAAATTACCATTGAACTTGTAACGAGTGATTCCAACATGAAGATTTAGATTACTGTGTACAGGCCGGGCTCGGTGGCTCAGTCTGTAATCCCAGCGCTTTGGGAGGCCAAGGTGAGTGGACTGCCTGAGTCTGCAGGTTTGAGACCCACCGGGCAACCTGGTGAGACCTCATCTCTACAATAAATCAAAAAATTAGCTGGGCGTAGCGTGCACCTGTAGTTCCAGCTACTCGGAAGGCTGAGGCGGAAGGATCGCCGGAGCCCAGCAGGCGAGGCTGCGGTGGCCAGCAGCGGCCACTGCACTCCAGTCTGAGTGACAGAGTGAGACTCCAACTCAAAAAATAAATAAATAAATAAAATAAAGTTGCTAGGCCACCTGGGCAACTTGGTGAGACCTCATCTCTACAATAAGTCAAAAATTAGCCGGGCATGGTAGCGCACACCTGTAGTTCCAGCTACTTGGAAGGCTGAGGCGGAAGGATCGCCAGAGCCCAGCAAGTTGAGGCTGCAGTGGCCGGAAGTGGCCACTGCACTCCAGTCTGGTCCAGGAAGTGAGACTCCAACTCAAAAAATAAATAAATAAATAAAAATAAAGTTGCTAGGAGCCAGGTATCTCCACCATGCCTCAGAAACCCCAGAGAATCCTGAGGACAAAATGGACATTCTTCCTTCACCACAGTGACCAGGTACTCTTTATTCCTTAGATCACATTAATGATTAATTCAAGTCGAACCATGGTATTTCTCAAAAAGACTTTCAAAAATTCCCTAAAGAACATGAGCCCCAAGAGAATCTTCCAAAGACATACATTTTTTTAAGTATAACAAGATAATAGTATTTTTTATTCATAAAGTCTGACTAGTGGTTCAGTAAAGTGAAGGACATAAAGCCAGAAGCAATTGAGCCAGTGACACTGAGTAAAGAAGCCAAGGCCGGCAACAGTTTAATTCTGGTAAATTCTGCCTGCCTAAGACAGTCTGTGAAGAGCGGGAAACTGGTAGCATCCTCAGGACGTGCTTTCTGCATGACTTACTTCAGGAATTTGCCTGCTTTTTTTTTTTTTGAGTTGGAGTCTCACTCAGTCCCCCAGACTGGAGTGCAGTGGCTGCTCCCAGCCACCGTACCCTCGACCTGCTGGGCTCCGGCGATCCTTCTACCTCAACCTTCCAGGTAGCTGGAACTACAGGCGCGCGCTACCATGCCCGACTAATTTTTTTGATTTATTATAGAGATGAGGTTTCGCCAAGTTGCCCAAGCAGGTCTCTAACCCGCGGGCTCAGGCAATTTACTCACCTCGGCCTCCCAAAGCATGGGATTACAGGCTGAGCCACCAAGCCTGGCTATTCGCCTGCTTCTTAACACTATGTAGCCACAATGTCCTGATTATGAGCAAATAAGCTAGGTGCCTGCTCAGGGAAAAACAGAAAGCATACGCCAGCCCCACTGATTTCATCAAGTTCCAGCCCAACCTTCTTGTCCATTTTGAGCCAGGCCACGGTGTCCTTGATTGTGTACTGCAGTCCAAAGAACCAGGTTTCCCGAAGCCCCAGAGTCCGGCACACCAAATCAAATAAGTCCTTTCCTTTCCACTTCATCTGCAAAATAACAAACCAACAAGGAAGGACACTATGAGTAAAAATAATAATCTGCTCCCACAAAAACCCTTTCTCTGTGCTCTCTACTCTCAGGTTCCAAAATGTGGGAATGATATTCATTGGTTGTTCAGTGGTAGAATTCTTGCCTCCCAAAATATGGGGATGACACTAAGACAGCTGATGAGCACTGAATTCCTAAATAATTTTAAAGCTTCCTACACAAACCCATGAGTGGGAAAATACCAATTAGAGCTTAATGACTTAATCACTGCAAAGCATACACAATACCTCCCTTGGACAGTTCCTTACAGATCTTAATATCCCCAAAGCTGCTAACTGAGTCCAAAAGGGAAGCGACTTGCCCACAGTCATAGAGAGCAATTTCAAACTCTTAGTAGCTATACCCAGGTGATGAATAGACACCAATATACTGTAGTGTGTTTATTTTATAGCCTCACTTTCAAAAGGACCTGAAGCAGTGGCTGCTAAACTCTTTTTCTCAGCTATTAAATCTGGTAACTGAAAAGCAAGTTCGACATCTTAATGGGGAAGAGAGTGCTCAGTAGCTTAGTAAGTGTTGCCACCTAGTGGTTTTCTAGTTAAATCATCCTGGATGTTCCCATACTACCCCTTAGAGGTTTGCAGCCTCCCTGCCCCAACCACTGCCAAGTATCAGGCAGACATTCAAATACACGCTCAAGTGCAGTTATGATCATATGAGACACATCACAGGAATGGTGTCATGTCAGAGTAATCTTTGGATTCAAATACAAGATCATCAGACATGGAAAGAATGAGACCACTTGACTGCGGAAGCATCTGTCCTTCTACTGTCCTCACTGGAAATCTCCACCCAAAGTCCTGACACACTGAAGGTGCATAATGAAAAGGACTGGGAAAAAAAAAGTAGGGGTTAGAAGCCGGGCTCGGTGGCTCAGCCTGTAATCCGCACTTTGGGAGGCTGAAGTGATGGATTGCCTGAGCCTGCGTGTTCGAGACCCACCAACTTGGCGAGACATCATCTCTACAATAAATCAAAAAATTAGCTGGGTGTGGTAGCGCGCGCCTGTAGTTCCAGCTACTTGGAAGGCTGAGGTGGAAGGATCGGTGGAGTCCAGCAGGTAGAGGTTGCGGTGGCCGGGAGCATGCCACTGCACTCTAGTCAGGGCGACAGAGTGAGACTCCAACTCAAAAAAAAGTAAGGTTTAGGGACTTGTTATAAAAGCAAGAAGGGAAAAATAAGTTATACCTGATACCTGATTGGCTTTTGCTAAATCCTGATTCTACAGGGGAGATTCAAGTAGGCCTTCTATTTTTAATATATGCAAATGAACAGTGTGTTCTCTACAAGGTACACAACAAAAAGCCCAGGCCTTCTGTGTTTGCAGTCAAAGTTTAGCAAAGCAACAACCTAGGTGGAAGAACACCAGGACTTCAGCAGACAAGAAGTTGAGGTGCATACTGGCTTTTGTCCTTTACCAGGACATTTCTCCCGCCTGTCCTTCAATCTCTGCCCTTGTCCCCTCTTTGGAACACTACAAAGGTTGATGTCTTCAGAGACAATTTTGAGTAGAATAAAATAGACTAATGAGTCTTATTTTTTAAAAGATGATCTCCTTCCCCCTTTTGTAAGGTTGAATAATGGGCACATCCATTTTCCAATCTGACAACAGAAAGACTTCACTGAAGAAATGCTATTTTGGAAAACTAGAAGCTTCAGGATGCTGACTATCCTTTTATTTTTAAGCCAGCACATAGTATATAAATTATAAATGACTACTTTGCTACAAAATAATGTAACACTAAAGAACAGGCATTAATTTGGAAAAGTTAAACACCCAAGGACCAGGAGGATCAAGGTAACAATTCCCAATTCATCATAACTTACTACCAAGGCCAGGCCAGGTTTTGGCAAGAAGGAGCTGTCTGCAAGTGGGATGTGCAGTGCATCGAAACAAAAGCTGCCAAGGGAATGATGAGTGAATTTCTCAGTTTGGGAGTTTAAATCCCCTAACATAATATTGTTTTTTTTTTGAGTTAGAGTCTCACTCTGTCGCCCAGACTGGAGTGCAGTGGCCGCTCCCAGCCACCGCAGCCTCGACCTGCTGGGCGCCAGCGATCCTTCCGCCTCAGCCTTTCAAGTAGCCGGAATTACAGGCGTGCACTACCACACCCAGCTGATTTTTGATTTATTGTAGAGATGAGGTCTTGCCAAGTTGCCCAGGCGGGTCTCGAACCCACGGGCTCAGGCAATCCACTCACCTCAGCCTCCCAAAGGCACAGGATTACAGGCTGAGCCACCGAGCCTGGCTATAATATTGTATTAATGCAGTTTCCTATATTCCCTTCTACGTTATTTTTAAAATGCAAAGTTATGTTTATTGCATGCAAGAAGACAATGTCTTTATCCCCATGGAGCTTGCCATAAAATGAGGAGACGTGAATAAATACTCACACCAATTCAGAATGCCCTACTTAGATTTCTTCTTTACTTTTCTTTTTCTTTCTTTCTTTTTTTTGAGACAGGGTCTCGTTCTGTCGCCCTGGTTGGAATACAGTGGCACAATTACAGCTAACTGCACCCTCAGTCTCCTTGGCTCAGGTGATTCATCTGCCTCAGCCTCCCAAGTAGCTGGGACTATAGGTACACACCACCACACTCAGCTAGTTTTTTAAATTTTTTTCAGAGACAAGGTCTCACTGTGTTGCCTAGTCTGGCTCAAACTCCTGGACTCAAGCAATCCTCCCACCTCGGCCTCTGGAAGTTCTGAGATTACAGATGTGAGCCACCAGGCTAACTTATGTAGATTTTCAACTTTGATACAAAGAATTGTACACTGTTCAGAGTTGGAAATGAACCTGAGTAATTATCTACTGTAGACCCATTACCTTGTTCTACAAATAAGGAAACTGAGTCACAGATTCTTTGGCAGCTGCCAAAGCAGACACTGGCCTTTTTTCACAGTGATCTAAGGTAGACCAACCTCAGTCCCTGGAGTGCATCTTGTCCTGCTCTGTGGGGTCCCTTTCTTCCTGCTCTCCAGCACTTCCCAGCCACCTTTCTCAGTAAGTAACCAGCGTCTAAAACAAAAGTCATTCTCACAAGAGTCAGATATTGCTCATTTACAGCTCAATATTAATTAAAGCCTCTGTTACTGCTCATTTATTCTTTCAACAAGTATTACAAGTATTGGTACTATGTGCCAACCAATGTTAGATGCTGATACTACAACATGGCAGAAGCAGTGTTTCTGCAGGAAAAGCGGGTAAGAATCCAGGCCAGAGAAGACTTTAAAGAACAAGTGAGTGTTAGATGAAGAAGGCAAGGAAATAAGTTGTTTTTTTTTGAGTCGGAGTATCACTGTCACCCAGGCTGGAGTGTAGTAGCACATTCATGGCCACCGCAGCCTCAACCTGCTAGGCTCAGGCGATCCTTCCACCTCAGCCTTCCAAGTAGCTGGAACCACAGGCACGCAACACCATGCCTGGCTAATTTTTTCTGATTTATTGTAGAAATGAGGTCTTACCAAATTGCCCAGGCTGGTCTCGAACCTGCGGGCTCCAGCAATCCTCCCAAAGTACTGGGATTATAGGTGTGAGCCACTGTGCCCTGCCTTTTTTTTTTTTTTGAGTTGGAGTCTCACTCTGTTGCCCAAACTGGAGTGCAGTGGCATGCTCCCGGCCACCATAGCCTCGACCTGCTAGGTTCCCATGATCCTTCAGCCTCAGCCTTCCTAGTATCCAGAACTACAGGTGCGTATTACCATACCTGGTTAATTTTTGGTTTATTGTAGAGACGAGGTCTCACCAAGTTGCCTGGGTAATTCTCGAACCCACAGGCTTAGGCAATCCACTCACCACGGCCTCCCAAAGTGCTGGGATTACAGGCTGAGCCACTGAGTCCGGGCCCCCTCCCTTCTTTTTTTTTTTTTAAATCAGGCTTTCTAGGCCAGGCATGGTGGTTCATGCCTATAATCCCAGCACTTTGAGAGGCCTAGGTAGGAAGATCACTTGAGGCCAGGAATTTAAGACCAGCCTAGGCAATATTAGGGAGACCTCAACTCTACAAAAAACGAACAAAACAAATAAACAAAAATCATACTTTCTATGGGATACTGCATGTCATCTAGCAGAACTAAAACAGACAGTCTGGGTTAAGGAGAGGGCATAGTGGGAATGGGGCTCCATATGGGACAGGGTGGCTCAACTTCAGCTGAAAGCCCATAGAGTATGAAGACTCATGGGCAGAGGAGTAACAGGCTCAGACCTGTATTCTGGATGTGCACTGACAACAGAATGACAAGAGAATGAGTTGAAGGAAAGGAGCCCTGCATCCAAAAGAGCAGAAAGAAGTCCAACCCCTGCCATAAGGAAGGCAGTGGGAGGGAGAAAAGACAGCCTGGAAAGGAAGCAGTAGCAGAATTGGTGCCTGAACAGGGAGAGGGAGGAACAGAAATAGAATTGAGAAGGACACCTGCATGTCTAGCTTGAGTATCAGATAGTTCCACTATGGGGAGATGGAATATAAGAGAAGCAGCAAATGTGAGGGGAACAGATGAGCAATTAAGTGTTTGATAAGTTAAGGTGCCTGGGCAAAGCAGGTAGAGATGTCCTAAGAATATTTGATTCGGCCAAGTGTAGTGGCTCACTCCTATAATCCCAGCATTTCGGGAGGCCGAAGTGAGGATTGCCAGAGCCCACAGGTTAGAGATCCGCCTGGGCAACTTGGCGAGACCTCATCTCTACAATAAATCAAAGAACTAGCCGGGCGTGGTGGCACATGCCTGTAATTCCAGCTACTTGGGAGGCTGAGGTGAAAGGATCACCAGAGCCCAGCAGGTCAAGGCTGTGGTGGCCATGAGCATGCCACTGCGCTCCAACCTGGGCAACAGACTCCAACTCAAAAAAGAGACAAGAATATTTGATTTAAAGCTCTAGCTCCATTTATAAAGTAAAATGTTCTGTCTTTAAGCAATTAAGACATTTTTCTGTTTGATTAA